GCTGGACTAAACAGGACTGTGTCAAACTTGTGCCTCATCAGGTACAAAACGGCACTAAAAAATAAAAATGAAAATGGAATGGAAATCTGGCTAGCTCCGTGAGCGGGCAAGATGTAACCAAATCCTGCACTGTGATTGGCTCGGAATTACCCGTTGTGTCCCGCAAGGATACAGTGTTCTTTTTCCACTAATCAGATCCTTTATTGACCAAGCTTGTTCGGTCAAGATGGCTGGACATTGGACCTTTATGGATCTTGACCAAACAAGCTTGGTCAATAACCTATATATCTCATACAATGATACAGCACCTCTGGCAAGAAGTACAAAATAAGAGTGAAAAGTTATCTTTCCTGGGAACTAAGAAGAGAATGATTTCGGGCTAAATCGCTCTTGGTCACTCAATACTCAGAATTCAAATTAATTATTACCAGAAGCATATCACCTGATATGCTCCTGTTATTACAAATTAACGCGATCGTTTTCTGAATTGTCCTGTAGGATCGTTGGAGTACCTCGAGAATCCTGCCTTCAAATGATACAGAGCAAAACTTCAACCTCATGATGGCAAGTGAACAGGACGGACAGACCATAGTGGAGTTTTCCCGAGACGCGCTTACAGGCGACACTGCCAATGATGTGCAGTTTAAGGTATGTTTAAACTAATGGGAACATTTTAGAGAGTAAAAGGAACTAGGCCAAAGAACTTGACGAGCTGTTAAGCATTTAGAAATGATCAAACTAGTGTTGAAATAGGTAAGTTAAGAGAAGTCAGGAGCTCTTTGGCTATGAGAAGTCAAGAGAAGAGCTCTTTTGCAAAATAAAAAACTGAGAAAGAGTGCTTCAATTAGAAGCCAATTGACGACTTAAACAGATAGAGAAAGCAAAGCTTAAGAAAAAGAGAATTAACAAAAAAGAGTTCCAGAGGGTGGGAGAGAGTAATGTGAGCCTTACTGGCCCGCAATCCGTGCATAGAGCTATATGATTACTTAATGGAAGTTTGCCAGAATTTTTTGCTAACACTTTGAGTTGAACTCCTTATGAAATGTTAATCTTGCAACATATACTACTTTCCTCTTGATTTTGTTTAATTCTCCAAATGTTATTTTTTAATTGTTATTATGTTTTGCTCAGGAGGATACTGAAGTGACTGTTGTGTGGGCCTCACTTACTAGCTCCGATGCAGATTCTGGCCTGTCAAAACACACTAAGACAGGAATACTGAGCGGTAAACATAACCTGATTAAGGAAGCGATCTCAGCCATGCAACCAAAAGCGACCCCACCCATCCCAACAGATTCAGCTGGTGTGATTGGC